ACTATGACACTAAAGTTCCTCAGTGTATTATTTGAAATTAATAATAAAAACATGAAATTCCATTAGCAAAATTCTTATACATTTATGTAGTTTGTGTAAGTTTCAATTAACAGAGTAATTCTACAAACATGTATATGTTTGGTAGCACATCATAGATACAAGGAAAAAGAAAACGAATCCTTGACCGTCTCTAGCCTTAGCTTACAGTTTCGGATTTTAAAACCGAAAGTAGAATTAATCAAACAAGCATGGTTTTTATTTGCAAAGCACATTATAACTTCCTGATAAAGGAATAATGTTTTGACAATTCTTATAAAAAATAAAATATTAGACGCTTAACAATAAAATTAAAACATGGATGTATGATTTATTTTTTGTGTGAAATTGAGGGGATGTAAAAGCGTTCGGTTGATATACAAATTTTGTATATAAAATAAGAACAAGTGGCCTGATTGTCAATGAAACAACCTTCAAATAAAGACAAACGGACAAAGTCGTGAAAAACGTCATCGCTACAAGGACAATGAGCAAAACTGATATCGTTTGATAAGCTTTATAAGAAACAAATATGAAACAATAACCGAAAATCAATTGAGCAAAACAGATACCGTTTGATAAGCTTTATAAGAAAGAAATATGAAACAATAACCGAAAATCAATTGAGCAAAACACAGCAACAAACGACAATCTTACGTAATCAGGTTCATCGCTTATGACACGCAAATACAATTTAGCAAGAGTCAGCAAGGTCATTTTAATGATTAACCATCCCCTTAGTGTAGGACAAGGATGGAAAGTTTGTATAAAAGGTTTGTTAAATGTTTTGTTTTGTATGAGAAAATATGATCATGAGATTCTTTCTATATTTATGTACATTGATTTCCTGCATCTGCAATACTTTAACTATTACTACTGATAAACAGAAAATCATATAAATAAAAGAAGACAAAGCAAGGAGAATGGAAAGATTAAAGAACATCAAATTTCCAAATTATCATTTTTCAGATGTAGAAACTCACCATAGTTATTATAATTATATTTTTGCACGTCAGATGCGCGTTCCTTCTACATAAGGCTCACCAGTGGCACTCAAATCAACACTATTGGAATGCATATTTAAAAAAAAAAGTCATGCCAATAAAGCTCAAATAATCAATACCTTAGGGTAGATAAACCTTAGTGTTTCGAGTATTTTCAACATTTATATAAAAAAAGTAAATTCACAAACAAAGAACATATCATTGATATTTCATGTTAACACAAAAGGTTTTGTTGAAGATGATATCACACTACCATCTTACATTTGTCCGATACCTTTCTCGTATTTTTCTACTGTGGTTGATGGATTATTCCCTCGTTTCCAGGTACCTAAACTCAACGTGCACTACTTTAATTTAATATGTAATATTATGAATGAATGCTTTTTACGGGGCAAGTTTTTTGTTTTGAATCATGATCAGTATTCATTGAAACGAACGTTTAATTAAACATTGTTTCATCTGCTCACTGAGGAGCCACACGTATGGTACATAATAAAATATATACTGGAGTTCTCGGTTTTAAAGTTTGAATGCACATAGATGGCATAACTTTGCTGTTAACTAAGCAAAGAAAGACTTTCCCTTTATTGATAACTTTCCTCTGGGTATCTTCCGCTTCTTTTTTTCAACATCAACCATTTTGCCTTACACATGCATTTTACCAACTCGAAAATGGACAATGTTGCCTTGGTGTTAAAGCTGTTCCTACTTCGTATCGATTTTCTTTTTGTATATTTTCTAAAGAGTGTAATGATTTCTCAAATTTTGAATTCTTAAGAATTCTTTAAAATAACATCGAAGCTGTTCCGAGTATTGTTCTTAGAATTGATATGTGTCCTTAATGCTGTCTTTCCAAATAAGAACGTTGTGACATCTAAATGTAGCTGAAATAATGATTTTGTAGAGGCACGAATCCTTAATTGAACGGATATTGACATACCAATAGAGTAAGTATTTCAAACTTTCCGGATGTTTGAATCCCGAATTGTAAAGATGCTTGATTCCAACACGTTCTGTATGATGATGTATGCCGAACTTCTTTACTCCAGTGAAAATATAATATTAATTTCAAGTTTCCACTTTTCACAAGAAATGCTATTGTTTAACTAAAAACGTTTGTAAAATAAAAGTCAAACCGATTTTCGACTGTGAAGCTAATAACGGGGAGCCTTTCTTTAATTTTAATATTTCAATCACGATGGTATCTTATTTTACAAGATTTGGCTAATCTGAGGTTAAAATCTCATAATGAAGTAAAATATATGTTTTATTGCTCAATTATTGTTTTTCTCATAATCACAAAACATTTAATGACATCAAGGGGTTTGTGACGTAAAGTGTGTTTTGCCAGTAGTCAACACTCTGTGTTGACATAAATAAGCATTGATATGGTCTTGATTATGAAATTAACTGCTTACAAAACAATTAATTTTTCGAAATATTAAGGACTTTCTACCCTAGGAATAGATTACCTTAGCTGTATTTGGCAAAACCCTTCGGAATTGTGGGTCCTCAAAGCTCTTTTACTTTTTTGGCCATTTTTACCTTTTTTGATTCGAGTGCTACTAATGAATCTTTTGTAGACAAAAAGCGAGTCTGGCGTAGAAAATTTTAATCCTGGTAATAATGATGAGTTTATTTACAACTACTGAGTCGATGCTACTGCTGGTGGAGGTTGCCTCCCCGAGGGCATCACCAACCCAGTAGTCAGAATTTCTGTGTTGACATGAATAATCAGTGATATGGTCATAATCATGCATAAACTGTTTACAAACATTTGAAATACTAAGAATGTTCTACCCAAGGTTAGAATTATCGTAGCTTTATTTGGCAAAACCCTTCGGAATTTTAGTCCTCAATGGTCTATTCTTCAACTTCTAACTTATTTTGACGTATTGACCTTTTTGATTCGAGAGTCACTGATGAGACTTTTGTAGACGAGACGCACTGATGAGACTTTTGTACACGAGACGCTCGTCTGGTGTACAAAAACTTGTAATCTTGGTATCCATGATGAGTTTAATGCTATCATGGAGAAAGACAAAACGTGATGAAGAATGAACTTATTCGAAATACTTTTACCGATCTTATATGATGAACTCATAAAAGATACCAGAATTTAAATAAGATTGGTTTTTTAAAATACTTTCACATATGCACTATTTGTATGCGTAAATTGCGACAATTACCTTCCTGAACAACTAAATTGGGGAGGTTATCGCCGACATAAAAATCATGCTTACCTATTGCTAAAAAGGCTTACTCTCAGCAAATATATTTTTAGCACAGTAAGTCGGTTAGTGGGTTTTTTCGGTAATTATTATTCACAAAATTAAAAACAAAAAGAGTTCCGCCGCTAATTCAACCCTAATTCAAACGACGAAGAGCTGATATAATAAAAAAGGAATCACAACTACATGTATTGAATGAGGTTGATAATTACATGATAATGAGAGAAAAATGCAGGTCATTCTACCGAATTAACAATATTTGAGGAAGGACACTTAAGAAAGAGTTTGCCCTATATTTTTTAGATACTTGGTAACAAGAAAGATTAAAATTAATGCCTTTTATTTTGTGTTCTTTTCCTAATGGGAGCCATACAAAACTTAAGCTTAACCAAACTGTAATGCAAACCTTATGCTAACACTAGCCCTTCCATAATTACTTTCGAGTAACTGGCTGATATTTATAGATTATCGATGGTTTTTCAAACCAGAGGGTGTTTCGCAGCTACAATCTCATCGAACGTCTACAACCCTGAGATGAGATTTGGCCGAGAGACATCCTCGAGTTTGAAAGACCATCGATGATCTGTTCATCACTATTTTGCCTATGGCATCGTTGATGTTCACATTAACTACGTCACGTGCACCCTTAGTTTCTGGCGATACTGTTGTATTTCAAGCAAGAAGCGTGATATAAAAAATTATCACAAAAAAAGATCTAAGGAAAAATACGCAAAATTGTGAGAATACCCGGTCTCGCTCTTTTCGTTGTTCATGTTCATGTCAGGTGTAATGATATACATGTATGACGGGGAAGTGGATGGTAAGGATTTTTTTTTAACTACGAGTAGTCATTTTCAATGCAAAGTTGGAAGGCGATAACACTAATTTTTACAAATAATACACGAATATCTACTTCAACAGTCATAAAGAGTATTAATTATTAACAAAATTAAATTTATTTTCAAAATTTGTATGCAGAATAGCCTCAACAATTATTTGTCAAATTGAATTTCATGTGTCTGAGGTGTTAGCTCGTAATAAAATATTCAAGTTAGCTATGTAATAAACTCTGCAACTCAATTCACGCAATTTCATCAAACGTTTTTAAAGATCGGGATATTTACATATATTTAAAGACCTACAGAAGATAATATATTTTTGCGTAGTGTGCTTGTAGAAGTTCATAAATCCTGAACAGGGTTAACATTGTATGAAACTAAATCTGGTTATGGAAAGGAATAAAAATAATTAAAATAAGATTTTGGGAATTGAGCATTATGATTTCTTCCCAAAAGCACACAATTAGGGCGAAAGAACTCATAGAAAAAATCTCAAGCTTAACATATAGTCTTAAAATGTACCAGTTTCTGCAATATGACTCACTCTTAAGCTTAAGTCGTGCTTCTTTTCGACAAACACAGCAATAGTAACATATAAATTTGCACCTGATTTTAAATGAAATATTATAGGCTGCTGTTATTGGTAAACAAATGTAGTACTTCCATCTTTATTCATATTTTAGTCTTTGTACGTTGTCAGAAGATGACAGCTTAGAAAGCTGTTCCCACAATAAAATATTGTCATAATTTGCTTGTATGTTTGTCGTGAAATGTTTTGAAATACAAATACAAGTATATGAGAAAATATCAATACCTAGTCACGCAAATACCTCATTACTCTTTTTTTTCGAAAATAAAAACACAGATCAACAGTTTACATTACTCTTAGACATAACTCATTTCAATTATAACACATAGAAGACGAAAAGGTATGTTAATTTGTTTTTGATTACTTTTTTACTCAAGTTAAACGAAAATATATTTGAAACCACCTGGAATGCAATATATATATATATATTTACCTACGAATCATCAATTGTAGTTCACCGTTGATCAAGGGTTTTGAAATTGCTGATACAACCAGAAGACACTACTATTATAAGATATATCAGATGTGTTCATCTCGGTAATATGGAACGATGTTGATACACATAAACCCGTTAACAGTACTTTCAGTACAAAACAAAACTCTCCCCCCCAAAAAAAAAAAAACACACAAAAAAACCAGCCAAATAAAAAAGGAAAAAAAACAAGCCCAAATTGCAGCTTGGTAAAGTTGAAAACCAGTAACTTATTTTCCGAAAATATCTTGATATTGATAGAGATTATTAAGTCCATTATTTTAGTTATAAGAATTGTAGTGATTATTTGTATCAATTTTATTTGTAGATGAAGATGTGTTTACCATTTGTGACAATAGTGCTAACAACTGTTGTTGTGGTCGTCCAAAACCATGAATGTAAGGACTATGTTCTGTCGGCATCAGACCAGTCTCTGATAGATATAATGAAACATTACCTACATACGTCAAGAAGAGTGGAATGTCCCCAGCCAGGTAAAACATCCAATACAGGTTTTTACTATTTGAGAAAATTTTGATTTGAAAGGGATAATTATATATAAGGTCTACAACAAAACCAAAAGTTAAAAACCAAATATATTTGAAATATTTGTATACTTCACACTAATGTAATTTTCTGCCATTGTTAACAGAACATATTTTGATTTATACAAATGGTAATTTCTAATTATATATAATTCATTTGTGATTAAAATAATCATTTCGCCAAATGAAATAACAATTACATGCAAAAAGGGTAGCACCCTGCATTGATAAATATTATGATATAGTGCATTGAAACTGTTACAATAAATTATCACCCACAGATATTTTTAGTAATCCTTCTAAATGTTAAATATCATCAAGTATAGCATTTTTAATTTGCTTGTTATTACATCATTGACTACTTACTTTGTTCTTGATTGCAGGAGTGACTTATGTGCGTTGGGGAAAGAAAAGTTGTCCAACAGGATCAAAAATAGTGTATACAGGTGATAAAATATTAACGGTAAATTAATGTTACATTAACGATAATTACTAAGTATTGTATACCGTTTATCAACATTATTATTCTTTGCAAGAATCGAAAATTAAAAGTCATTTTAAGTGGTTTTAAACCTATTCTTTAGTTATGTATAAATACTATTCTAAATTAGAAAAAAAACATGAAACCACAGAAAAACAACTTAAAAAATCAACACCATGACTTACATATTGTACATTTTTTTTATATAATTCAGTATACCAGTTTTTTTGCATCATAACAATGTCATGCTGGAACACATTTTTGAATTTAAGGTCAGGTGGGTGGGAATGGACATGAAAGGAAAGGAGGTGGTGTAAATTATTTATGTCTCCCTAATGACCCAGAGAATGGACAGCATCAATCATATGACAATAACCAGGTTCATGGAGGTGAATATGAACTTGGTTCATCAATGCAGCCATCGGGATGGTCAGAAAGTATGCACAACAAGGAAGTACCATGTGCTGTATGTTACAAACAACGAAGATCAGCTGTCCTAATAATACCAGGTACATTACTTAGTTTAAATTGTCACACATTAAAATATGTGCAAGCAACAATTTTATTAATAAGATTTTACACAATTTACTTATTTTGACTTTTTATTCAAAGTGGTTGATGACTCCACATTTTCCTAACATACTTTTAGGGACAAAACAACGTATTGTTTTATATAACTTTGTGGTTTTGTGTACAATGTTAAGGACAAACTGGTTTCCTTGATGAGCATAACTAGTATACATTTAAAAAGTGTTTTTGTCAATTCACATTAAAATGTCATAAGGGTGACACAACGTTGTTTGACGTTTTTCTTATGGAATGGAGTTATGAAATGAAAACAACATTTAGATTATGAAATACGCACCAACCGCAAAGTAATAATTCTCACCATACTATTTCATGTATTTATACTTACAATAACAAATATCGTCCACGATTAGATATTTTACTTGCCTATATTTTTTTATTAGGTCGAAAGACTTGCTATAAAGGATGGAACGCGGAATACAATGTTTTTTTGATGAGTGATCATGTTTAACATAGTAAATGGGACTTTGCCTGTGTTGACATGAATGCAGAACCGCTAGACAATAAGAATGTAGGTGAAAATGGCGCTTTGTTTTATCCTCTCCGAACCAAATGTGGCAGTTTAAGATGTCCTCCCTATACCAATGAAGCGGATGTTCTTTGTGTCGTTTGTACAAAGTGAAATGTTTGACATCAAATGAAAATACATAAAGACTTGCTTTTGCTATATTGATATCTTAATCTCATGTATTTTGTTATTGAATAATTCAATATTATGAAACTTTGTTAACTGCATCTATCCTATTACACCCGAAACAAATAATACATCATACATATTTATGTATGCTTCCTATCTGACTTACAGCTTAAATGCGGATTAGTTGACAGAATAGTAATTGGACAAGAGAGAAATTTGATTTTTTTTACCTTGATTTGTATCGATTTGCATCTTTTGTATGGATTTGGATTGAAATCTTGGTAAATCATTGTTGTCCCTAATTCAGCATTCGCCCATTCCCTAACTAAAGACTGAAATGTAATATCACTTCATGAGAAAAAAGTTAGGTTTTTTACATTGAACCGCATAAAAAATATTGTTTTCTTTGGTATAAATGTTATGATCGGGGACTTAAGAAGGTCATAAAAAAACCAATATAAAAATTCTGAAGATATTAATGCAAATACGACAACGTAGATAAAAGTATAGTGGACTGATCATTGATTGATTAATTGCTTCCGATAAGAGATGGAGAAGTAATACTTTTGGTTCTAATATATATTTTAACTTGAACGAAAGTCACTTGAACAATGTTCATTCCTCGTTGCTTTTAAATCGCAAAATACAAACTATATAGTTTTGAGGCTTATTGCGTTTGGTCCTTTTTTATGTCCTATGGTGTCGCCCCATTTATTGGGGATCTATTTCGTCTGTTGGTCTGCTTTATGAAATATTAGATATATTATCATATTTATTTAAAATCTTGCTTGACAATATTCTTTCGAGCAGAAATACGCTAAAACTTTATTTTGGCATGCAGTTGGATCACACTCAAGCATAAGAATAACCAAAACACAGGTGCTAGTGACATGGTTTTTTTTGGGGGGATAAGATCTATTGTTCACTTATTAAGGCTGTCTTATATGACTTATGATTTATGATGACCAGGCAAGGATATAGCTTCAATGTGATGATAATAAAATAGAATTACCATTCAAGCAAAATGATTTGGGAATATCACTAAAACCCCATACGGTTTATGCTGGATCAAGAAAATCAGCTGCAAATTTTAAGATAGGGTTCCACAAGGTATTTTACTGCATGTTTGGGTTCTGGAGGGGTGCAAATATGTCGTTGGATTTTCCTCTCAAACATGTGGTTTGGGAGACTTTTCTGTCAATATCCTAACTCATTTTTAGTGGTTCATTGATGCATTAATACATGAAGTCTATATGTGCCCCTGGACGAAGAGAGACGTTATGTGGTTATAGTAGTAGTTATTCGTCGTCTTGTTATATGTTTTCCTCTTATACAACCTTGTCCGAAACAAATCTTTTGCATCAGTTAACATTGATTAATGATTTTTAGCATGAAAAAAGAGAAGCAGAAGATACTCAATGAATATTCAAAGTTGTTTTACATATACCAGATTCATCGTGACCTTCTTTAGACCTTTACTTTAGACCTTAGATGTTCTTATTCTTAATATAACTTGTTATGCTTTGACATTGGCTGTTTTAGTTGGAACTTTGTTGTATTATTTATTATTGACAGATAATGCACAATCCAACCTCGTTTAATAAACTATTGTTGAATAACAACAAATTGGTTCAGCTACCCAAACCCTAACCCAGAGATTAACTCTAAACTGTCACACTAAGACCTTTCTAGTGCACCATTTGTAAATAACAAATATTCCTATACGTATCTAAGTTTTGCCTTGGAGACTTATTTTGTTATACTTTTTATAAAAAAAAAATGGACGTGCATCTTAAAAGAGAGGCGAAAGATACCAAAGGGACATTCAAACTAACAAGTCAAAAATAAACTGACAACGCCATGGCTAAAAAAGAAAAAAGACCAACAGAGAAACAACAGTACACAGAATACAACATAGAAAACTAATGACTGAGCAACACAAACCCAACAAAAACTGGGGGTGATCTCAGGGTAAGCAGATCCTAATCCACATGTGCACCCGTCGTGATGCTCATGTAAGTACAAACCCGGTGATAAATTTAATTCGGTTAGTTGTCTAAATGTTTATATTTTTGTTTTGTATTTTACAATGAGATTGTCGGAAATTTTTTACAGTATTTGTAAGATTTCGTTTTCCTCTACTAACATCTTGAAGGTCTAATTGGCTTTACATTAGCTGAAAAACAGCAATGATAGCTATATTTCTTTTTTTCTGATTTGTTCTTGTATGGATGCTGATTTTGTGTCGTGAAATGATTCACAAATCATTCCTTTACCATTTTAAGAGTGCCAATATGCTAACTCTAACATTTATATATTCTTAATTGCCATCGCAAGAGCTTTTGAGTGCCTTTATATTATGACCGTAGTGGTGTCATGTCCCGCTCTCCAATATCATAACTGATTTAATATATCTTTAACACACCGGCGATCCCCTTCTTAAAAACAAATAATTTCTTATTTACCTTGAAATTACCCATCCGTTTGCTATAAAAAATGGTTTGGCCTCTCCTATACCTGTGTGACTTTTATAAATGAAAGAAAGACAGACGAACGTGCTAGTCCACTAAACTTTGGTCTAGTTTATTGGAATATTCATGATAGATTTATTTTGTTTAAGTTTAGCTGTTTTACTTTGATTATTTAAAATGTGACAATTTAGCTTTTTTGAATTTTTAGGCCAAAAAAAAAAAATTAAAAAAAAAATAGAAAGATAATCGGTATGTGTAATAAGTTGAGCTGTCAGTTTCTTTCTTGTTTTGTGTGTTTTGTGTGTTGCAATTTAAAACATTTGATAATGATTTAAAAATCAATGATGAACGTTATATCCATGAAATTTTTATAAATTCGAATTGAAATTTTTATGAAAGTAAATCTTGCAACTTCTCTTAACTTACCAACAAACGGTCCGAGTTTAAATAGTTTACTCATCTACGGATCACGATAAAAGATCGATAATTTCGATATAAAAGTAACTTAAGGTAATGATTTAGATAAACTAGAATTTCTGTTACCGATAACATAGTATTTTAAGGAAAATAAATACAGCACGGCCTTTGTTTACATTTTCTTATATACTTAGTAACACACATTCTTTGATTTATCTGTTATATATTGTACTGTGATAGTGACATACAACAACCTGTTTAATTTTGTCATTCTGTATTTTTCATGATTAAAGAACATTGTATACATTTGTATACTGTAAAACTTGCAATTACCCATGGAATGATTCTTTTATAAATATAGTTCAACGTACCCATACCACTCAGTTCAACGAACTCTTCTCCTATGCAACTCCATACAAATGGAGATCAACAGATTGAGGCATGATGCACTTGTATATACATGTAACATATTATTGTTCTGAATTTGCGTGTAATATTTGCTAATTGACGTTTTTCATCAATTTCAATGATAACATATTTCCACACTTTCAAAAGTTATTAGTTCCAGCGACTGGATTTTTTTTTTTGAAGTATTTGTTTTATCCGTCCCCTTTATCCTATGGATCTGGTAAATGATTTAAAAGTCTTTGTATCATATATCACCTCATATTAAAGGGGCATTAGCTGTCAAATTCATCTTAATCGATTTGACTCAAATTCTAATTTTTGATTTATAACATACTAACACGTTTATCCAAATTACAAAAAGTCTAAAATAAACAATTAATAATGCATGGATTCGATGATATGTATCAACATTTCGTGTGTATTTTTTTCTAGACGTCTAATTATCATTGAGATGACCTCCGAAGACTGCCGACGGTCATATAACCCGATTTAATCAATATAAACAGATAGCATCCACGTGCAATCGGATTTTTCTAGGTCTGTTTGATTTCATATTGTAGATTAAAAAGTATGTTTAGCGTCGTTTTTACCTGTGTAAGAAGGATTTTTTTGTGGATCGAATCAGTTAACCAAATGATTCATCCTTGTGTCACTTTCATTGCTGACATTCGTTTCCTTTTAATAGCTGAATACATGCGTAACCCATCTCCAGCTAAGGGGTTGAATTAAACGTCACATGAATACGGATTCAATGAGGTCGAATTAAATCGTTGGAAATTTTAGGTGACAGGAGGAGAAGACAACAATTACAAATGTTTTATAACATTCAATATAAGTAAGCTCCGGATTATCTATGTAATCTTGATCAAGCCTGTGTACAGAGCACAACTGTATATCCCTTGCGAAATGGCAGTGATGTTATTGTTCATATTTGTAGATTATCCTGTATTAAAGAATCTTTTAAACCATCAACTATAAGACTACGGAATCATACTGATTTGTCCCTTCGAAAAATCTATCAAAATTTAAAATCCGTTTAAAAAGGCCAAATACTATAAAAAAAGATGTACCTTAGCACTATTTATATGGACCTATGAAACTATATACAATTCTAACTCAATTAAGATGCTCCCCATCTTTCTTGAATTATGACTTGTTCAGAATCAATATAATTTCTGACCAATCTTATCTTTGTGGGTGCATCATTGAGACTGTAAACCATTTCCTTTTCGACGTTTCCTTGTATACAGACCAGAAAGAAATTCTGATGAACAATCTATGATTGTTCCCTGATGATCCGAACCTCTCGTACGAATAAAACGTTCAAACATTTAAACATGTATTCGTATTTATTAAAAGGTCTAAGAAATTTCTTGTCATACCGAATAGAATATTTGCCGGTACATCATCATCATCATCATCATTAACAATTTTTCCGTTATTATTGTTTCATCTTTTTCAATAGCTAGACTAAAGTATTGTATATTTTGAAAGATTGCATGCTCATATTAATATTGTATTTTTGTATATTGTAGTTTGGAGCGAACGTCATAAGTATGGTTTACTTGGGTCCAATCCATTTAATTTGAGTAAATAAAACATGTTTAAACTAAACATGAACGCTACCAATTTTACTGCACCAGAAACGAATTTCGACAATTAATGTATCTGCAGTAATTCACAAAGTCAAATTTAGGAAAATACAAAACAAGATACGAACGTTGAAGAGTTATTAATTGCTGGTATATATTTAAGGTGTTCTTTGGAAGGAAAGACAACCCA